AACACCTGCCTGCCGACCTGCTTTTGCTTTACCTATTAAACTGTCTTTATCTCAATCCATGTGTTTTTTCACTTTTACTCTTCTGATTCTCTTCCCCCATCGCACCAAGGAGTAGTGAGAAAGCAGCTGTGTAGTGCTTTGTTGCCAGTGGGGGTTAAAACATAACAGACCAATATCTGAGATACTATAATCTATGATCATGCTACATAACATTCCAGTTTCAACAAATACCTATTTACTAAACCCTACATCCCATCATTTAATTATAGTAATTTCCAAGTTCAGTAGCTCTGGGTGCATAGAATCATTTTGTCCATGCTTATATAATGTCCCATTTCTAGTTCAAATTCAAATCACATTCAAAATGCCTAATTCTTCTTCATCTCATCAGATGTATAGAGGAGGTTGATCAAATTATGATGGACAAGGAGTAATCGTGATTTGTAGCAGAAGTAGTTTATAAGAAATTAGAAAGACATTGTGACTATAAAGATCGTGAAGCACTGCATTGGCTGAGGCTTTGAAGTGCCTGATAGACAAGTATCTGTCAGCAGCAGTCTAAGTATATTTGATCCTGATGTGGGGAGAGGGTAAGCTAGACTATTCCAACTGATATTTCCCACATACATTGTTATTCTGTGTAGATGCCTGGGCAATCGAGGCGTTGTGAACCAAAGTAGGCCTCAGCTTAGCATGAGTACGTTGTGAACCAAAGTGGGCCTCAGCTTAGCATAAGGGAGTAAAGGTTAGGTAAGAAGACTCAAGGCCAAGTAAGAAGAGAAAAACAAGGAAATGAAGACTAATTTGGCATCGTGATATGGAAAAGTTGAAGATAAGCAGGACGTGGGACAGGATGAAATAGATGTGGTTTGGAAAGTGTTCAGTATGGAACAGATGTCATTTGGAAAGTGTTCAATAGTTAGCGACCAATAATGTATTAGCTTAGCCAGCATGGGCAGCGTGTGCAAGATGCATGCACCAATTAGAAGTCAGATAGATGCGTGCACGAACATTAACAATGTATAAAAATAGCAAGCTTTGTGCAATAAATCGGCTATCAGAGCATCATATTGGTGTGCTGTAGTCCGTTCCTCGCATGGACCCCAACAATTCTGCAGTAAATCAGTGATACCCATTAACAGCCAAACTAGTCTCTCATAACTCCAGTGAAGTCAGATGTTACACTGGGATTGTTTCACAAGTTCAAAGAATTTAATTTAAGATGTTACAGGATTAAGGAAAATTAGATAATACATTAATGTGCGTGATTACACTGCTCATGTTCAACAAATAGAAGGTCATAATATATAAATATATACAAAAGCCTTGAAATTCAGTAATACAAATCTGTAAGTGAATGTGAAAGAGAGAGTTCTGTAGAACATGAGATTTTAAAATTTGATTTTCAGTAGCTTTACAGTTTTCTTGGGTTTTCCACATGTGAAATAATACCTTTGAATTTTCTTAAATATGTTGACCAGTAAGAGGGTGTGACCTCTCATTCATGACAGCATAAAAAGGAGAGATTGAACAGGTTTCACTCTGCCTTCTATAGACTCTGATGTCTTTCTAGCTACCTTATAATTTGCCTTTTATTAATGTCACAACTTTAGCCTTGCAGTCGCTTTCTGTGGTAATGTCAACAATGGGTAGTCTGCTTCCCAGTTTTTGTTAATCTCATATGTAATGGGCCATTGGTCGTAACTGATAGTGCATGAGTTTTGGCATTTAGCAGATCATAGATCAGTGCTTTGAATGTTCTATCCTTCCTAGATGCAACAGATTATTCATAAGATTTCAGTGTTTCCCAAACATTTAAGAAGCCTTCTAGAAACCATCCTTGAAAGGGCGATTTCCCTGGTTTATGGATGAGAAGTTGAAGCAAGAAATAAATGTGCTTCAACTGGAAAGATAGAAGGAAAAGCCATTTGTTCTGCCTTCCATTTTTAGAACCAGGACGAATTCTTTTATTTTTCTGAAATAATTTTATAGTCAAACTGCTAATTTGATTATTGTGCTGTATTAAATCCTAAAAACATGAAAGTAACTATATGTCAGTGTATAAGTTTTAAATGTGCAGAATTCTGTGACTGCCTGAACTATGGAAATACTGTCTTTTCATATGCTCATTTTGACCATACGTGCAGTATAACCATGATAGATGTGATTTGTTCTAGTTGATTACATCTCGATGGATGTAATGGATGGATGGATTACTATCTGTGTAACCAAGTGTTAATTATGAATCAGAGCCTTTTCACATTGCAGTGTTTTTACAAAATAATACATCTTTTTTAAATGGTGGGTGAATGGGTAGTAAATGGGTAGTAAAATACCTTATTTCCTCTATTCTACCGTGTTATTACGGTATTTGTAATGGTTCCCTTTAGGTAGGAAGATTCCTATTTCCAGCATTAAAAAGATATTATCTCACTCTCAGAACAGTCAAATCAGATGAATCATTGTTTTCAAAGTATGTGAACAAACTTGAGAAGATCTTTGAAAGCAACATACTTGGTACACAGAAGTAAGTTTAGGCTGTTAACTTTGTTGCCCATCCAAACCCTCAGATTCATAACTCTATCCATTTGACTTAAACAAACAGTTTAAGTGGGTTTGTTTCTAGAGAGTATCTTCACATTGGAATCTTATGTTTGTTTTTGTGATCTTCTGTGTTTAAGGTATTTAAACATGTACAGGAAATACAGCAAGATGTCACAGATTTCTTGAAGGAAGTTCATTCTTTAGAAGCCTTAGCAGAGGTAATATGTAACTGACAACTGCTACATGTTCAACAGCAGCTAACACATCACACTTGACTTCCCAACATACTGCCTAAAAAGCTCCCATTCAGATCACTTGTTTTACCCTTGGGAATACCAAGGAAGCCATCTCAGTGTATATACCCCTTACTGTGGGGTTGCTGGGCAAATGTAGAAGGAGATTTCTTTATGGCCCTCTTCTATGGGTTTTGTTGGGTCTTAGTAGAAGTCCAGTGGAAACCTGCCCAGAGTATTTGGTGAATCTACATCTTGCTAGTCTTTTGTCTGTCTTGTCCTTAATCAGCCCTGTCTACTTTTCTCTCTGCATTCCTGAGTTATCCTGTGGCTAAATACCTCTTCAGGCAACTTGTGGTGTTCCTTAATATGACGTATTACTGCACAGAGGTTTCAGCCCTGGAATCTGCAGATAGGAGCTGAGCTCTGGAAAGACGAAAAATAATTATTCCTTCTTCTGTTTGGAATATGTTATCCATTTGGTGAATGGGAACTGATTAGTAGTTGTTTAGCATTTTTCATGTATAGACTTTAAGGAAAAATAACAGATGTATTATTTTCCATTTGTAGAAGATTGACAACAACACTGAAAAGAGAGATTGCTTCCATGCATGTCACTGTCCCTCTGGCCATGTTCTGTCTGGATGCTGTACAACTGAATGAAGATCTCTGCAATTGGACCCAAAATCTCAAAGATAGATTAATTGAATTTGAAGTGATGGAAAACAGAGTTAAATCAAAAGTATGTGTTATTAGCATGCATGGTTCTTGCTATCTGCATAGTCTGATGCTGTGTATCTGTGGATGAGATAATGTTAGTTGTCTGCTGGGTTTTTAGCGCTCACCAGACATGTGCAAGGACACTGAAGTACTTACTTAAAATTATCAGGAACAGAAATACTTTAAAATAAATATCTAACTTTGTATAGGATGTATTTAGAGATTAGACTGGAAATATGTCATTGTTCTTTCCTCTTTTAGTGTTTTAGGATTTCAGTTGAGGTCCTTGCTTTCTCCACCTAAAGCAACATGAAGAATGTACTTTGCAGCTTTGCATTTGTCTTGTCCCTGACTTCCCCCCCCCAAAAAAAAAAGACCAAAAAAAAGACCTTGTACATATAATTGGACTCCAGTGTAATGGGATAACCCCGGTTCTGTGAATTAAAAAACCCCTACCCTCTGCAAACACCAAAAACCCCAACAAAAACAAACCCACCACCCTCACAACTGAAGAAAACTTCCACAGTGAATGGAGAGAGACAGTAACAATAAAGAAATTATTCAACCCAGTTACCCGAAAAGCATCTCCAGGTAGAGAATGAGCCACAGTCTAGAGGGGCATCTCTGCCTTCCCTTACTGTGGAGGGGATCTGAACAATGAGCTTGTGCTAAATACCTAACGTGGAAGGCTTGAGTTGGTTTCAGTGAAGCTATCCTTTGTGTATGATTGCTGCTTGCATGCCTGGTGTCTGTATAGATGTTTGCACTACTGAACTGGAATCTGGAACAGGAAAGTGTATCACTGGAAAGAAGGAAAATAACTGGATTAATTTTCCTTTCTGTATTTTCTGTTCCCATGTATGATGTAAAAGAAACTTGATTGTTTAATAATTTTTCTCTTTATAGCTTTGTTTCATACCATGCACTTGATTTCATTGTTGTGGGGTGATTAAGAGAGCTCTTGCTTACTGCATTCAGACATTTTTTTCTGCAGCAGATTAGGTCTTGAAAAGGAAGTTGTAAACTTATAGGAAGGAAATATGTTAATATGCTGTTAACTGTATTTTGGAACCAAATTAGCAATCATTCTATTATATATGAATTATTGTAAACATAGTAGGACAATATAACCATTGTACAGAGTAAAATGGCATCCTTTATAAATGTCTATCTGCCATGTATATTCAATCTGGATACTTAATTTATGAAGAAATCTAATATTCTCGTTTAATGTTAACAAGCCTGTGCACCTTTCTTTACTTATGATCCCAGTGATATCTCTGTTTTCTTTTTGTTGTAGAATTTGCAATGAATATAACTTAATTGCAAAGAGAATGAGTGAGGTGCCTCAGAACACTGAAGAGCTAGTGGAATTTGATGCATACTTAAAGAAATCCAGTGAAGTTACTGTTTTTAAACTGAAACAGGAGGTCACTGAAGCAGCACACAGACTGAAATTCCTCATGAACTATGCTGATCTTTCTAGTATGTCTCAATTACAGAACATAAAATTCTCCATGTGAAAAAATTTATATATAGATAATGGGCTCTGCATGCATAATTGTTGCATATTCTGGAATGGTAATGGAAAGCTCCAAAAGAGACAGAAAGGAAAGAAAAATAATTTAGTAGAGGCCAAAAAAGTACCAATGCAGGAAGGAACAGTTAGAGAAATGGCATATAGCACAGACAGTGGGTTTTTTCTGCATTTCAGAGAACATTTTAGGCATTATCAGATTAATGTAATGTAATCTGGCCAAATGGTATTACACCTCTACGTTATTCAATAAAAAGTTTTCTGTGAAAAACCTATTAAAAAGCCATATTTCAAAGGCTCTATGACAGCTTTTGGAAAGTGTGAGAACTTGCATCTCTGCAGTTGAGTATTAGATGAGTGGAAGCCTTTTGTTGGTTTGCTGTGATGGTTTGCTGTTCTTGGATAATATAAAGGCTGTCCTCCAAGATGGAAAAAACATCCGTAGAAGTTGCTTTTTACTTGCAGTTCTATTCAAAGCAAAAATGTGCCATTCACAGCCGCTGTATGTTATTTGCTGTACATAAAAAGAAAGAGCAGTTATATGAATGAATACCCATTTTAGGTGCAGGTTGTTTCTTTCTCCTTAAGCAGAATATGCTCTCAGATCAGACTGTGGTAGAAATAACTATGGTATGCCATGTTCATTAGAATTTATTTTTGAAAAAAGTAGGATGCCTATGGAAAAGAAGACATTTTTCTGTTACATTTTGGACTGCAATGTTTGCATGCATGGTATTTCATAATTACGTATTCTTTGTAGCAGGGTTTATAAGCATGTGTCCTGCAGTTAGTTATAATGAGTTAAGTAGGTATATTATATATATTTAGGAGTGTATATATATAGTTAGGAGTAGACTGCCTCTCTGTGTAGTTGAACAGAACTGATGTTCTGGAATAACAGTTCTTACTAATTTTAAACTACACTAACTAAACCTTAGCTATTTTGCCTCCTCTTCACAACAGCCGTTCTATCAGATCATTAAAATATATTTTCTTAAAGATGTCTATATTTATTCTTTTATTTTAGATTCTGACATAAACCTGAATAGTGCAGTTTTCCATTGGCCTGATCAAATCGAGATAATATTTGACAACAGTAGAGATCAGTTCTGTAGCTGGAAGAATCATGCAGAGAAGGCTTTGCGTGAAAGGTATGGTGTTAAGACATTTTCTTTCATTGGATATTTTTAAAGAAAAGAAAAATCTGATTGTCAGTAAAAGACAGATAATGTCGAAGAAGGAAAACTTGGAAGGGAGCGGAGAAAGTAAGGAAGAAACCTGGTTTACAGTATTATAGATGATCTTTAAGGTCCCTTCCCACCCAAACCATTCTATGATTCTATGATTATGAAACCTGGTTTACAGTATTATGAAGATTTCAGAACAATACTGTTGATAAGGGTGGATTAGAATATTCATGTATTTAAATAGATCTAAAAGGAGGAACGAAGAATGTTGTTAGAATATTCATAATTTTATCTTATTATATGGCTTAGTAGAGTATTACATATAATTCTGTTGTATTGTTTTTACTCTTCCCTTATTTCCTCTAGGTATTAAAGGTAGCAAATGTAAGTGAACTAAATAAATTGAGAGATTTGAAAATGAACCCTGTATTCTAATCCTATGAGCTGCATAGTAATGATATAGCTGATTAATGGGTTTTCACTGGCATCTGTATTTACATTACACTAGTACTGAGATCAGTTTCCATTTGACAGTGCCTGTTATAATTAATAAAATAAAATGAAAAGGAATGAAACAGAACATCATATTACCTTAGCTATCTTTAACTCAGGTGTTCTCGGTTTGAGGAAATTCTTGAAGGTTATAATAGAGAAGTAGAAAGCTATGAAAAGCAGGATGTCATGACCACAGAAGAAATTAGGAACAACGCTGAGAAGTTTAAAGAATTAAATAAGAATCTAGATGATGCACTAGCAGAATTTGAGGTTAGAATTTATTAGTTAAGTGTGATGTGGGTTGCAATGTGCTGGATAAGCAAAAGTTTGCTTCCTGTTCCTGGCTTTTTTTTCATGGTTCTGCCTATATATTGTCAAGATGGCTTTAAAATTTCCAAATTCACAAACATGTGGCAAATATCTTCTGGTCTCTGTATGCCGAGTTGTTCCTACTGCTGAGTTGAAGAGCATATTTTGGGGGGAAAAAAGTTCAGGATTTTTCTTATAATTGAAATACTGAATTTCAGTGTTTCCAAACGATCTGTAGTAGCAGGATGCTGTCCATGGAAAACAGAATTCTTCTGGCAGAGCTAGCAGAAGCAGAATGTTAGGAAGGTGGCATTTTCCCTGAACCATGGTTTGTGCTGTGTTTTCAGTCCCTCTGCTTGTCCTCTAATTAAAACGAAATGTTTTTCAACTGTTTTTATTGTTTGCAGAAGTTGCCTATAGACCTTAAATATGTGTTATATCACAGAAAGGGAATTTTCAGATTCTAGAAGGAAATTGAAGAACAGGATTCCTAGATTGTATCCAGAGATCTCCATCCAGTGTACTGTGTGGTTCTAGGCTGAATAGTTTGTCTTAGCTGTGCCTCTGCTGAGAAATGAGAATGGTTACCTTTGAGAGATCCCACAGGCATTGTGAGGCTTAATTAATCTTCTAAATCACAGTGAGACAATGAGATTTCTGCATATAGAGAGCCTTAAGGATCAAAATTTTTATTGAAGTCCCACTCAAAAGAGAAAATTGACCCAATTAAATGAGTTTAGGATTTAGATAAATTGCTAGTCCTACATATCAGCACTCTTAATCTGATTTAAGGGCACCTAGGGTATTAGTGTGAGTTAGTAGCATTGATATGTTTTTATAGGTAGATCAGAATAAGTAATTAAGTTTAAGTTTCTTAGTACATGATCACAATGAGGAGTATATCCGCACAATTTAAATGACATGACAATCAGCTTAGTGAGTACATGAAGTTAAAAATTGTCTTGGAATGTGGATCATTAAGTTTCTCTGCCTGCATTTCACACTGAATGGTTAAAAGTTTTATGAAAGGTTGGCATTGTAAAAGCACAGACTTGGGACTCAATCTGAATTCAGTGTCTGTATTTCAGACAGCACTTCTTTCTGCTTCACCTCCCTACTTGTAAAATGAAGAACGCAATACTTTTAAAAAATCTAAATCTTTGGACATTGATTTATACTGTAAGGTCCTTTGGGCAAAGACAGTGTTTTAGCATGAATAAGCACGGCAATTAATACCTGTTTTGGTTGGAGCTCCCAGATATTTCTGTAATAGAAAAATGCAATCACAAATGAAAAAAAACCAAACCACCCTATAAGTGTATGTGACTGATGAGCTTAAATCCAGGTTTCAAAGTGTGTTGGTAACTTGTGAGCCTTGGTTTCACTGAATGCCATGCTGCATTATCTATTTCTAAAACAGATACAGATTTTTTTTTTTTGAGATTATTTGAGTAGTTAAAGGTACCAAGAAATAACTAGAAGAATTTTCAAGAACACCATTACCATATTTACCTAAAATCCACAGGCCTAAATCTACAAATCTGTCTGGCTTTATGACAAGTAAGAAAATTTTATTTGATATTACCTATTTAAAAGTTTAAACAATAGTAGGAATTTTTGATGGTGATGAGATGTGGGTTTTTTCCTTAAAGGCTATTAATAAAGAAGAGGAGTTACTTCAGCGAGAGAAGAGTCAATTTCCTATACTGCAAACTGTAATTGTCAGCAAACAACCCTTTGAGCAACTCTGGATAACAGCATATGATTTCCATACCAAATCTGAGGAGTGGATGAATGGTGAGGCTTTGGTGTTCATTTGGTGAAGTGTGTCATTTTCAGTTAGTTAAGCAGACGCTGAAAGGGTTCATCAGTTGTGAGGAAATAATTTTGAAGAAATAAATGCTGTTAAGCAGTGTGAAATACAGTTGTTGACTTGGATTTTGAATTATTTTTTTGTAACACAATTGATTTCCAGTTCAACAAAAAATATTATAAATACCTGTAAATAAACCTCCCTGGCAATCTCCTTGTGCTGATGTGCCTGCTGGACTTTTTTTATGCTGTTGTATTCAGGCTCTCTCTGGAATTTGAATGCTGATGAAATTACTGAAGAAATTGGAAATATGCAGAGGACTATATACAAGCTTAGTAAGAGTTTTCCAGATTTGCCTGGGCCTAGACGCATAGCAGAAACTATAAGATTGATAAATTTCAACACCATCTTCCTGTCCTGTCAATTGCTTGCTATCATGGAATGAAGGAGAGACATTGGGAGCAGGTACTTTAAACTCTGCTTTTACTGTGGGAGTATTCTACCACAGAAACTGACAGTTCAATATACTACTCCATATATTCCATACTGTGAAATACGGTAATAATTCTGTATTTCACAATAAAAAAGATCCTTTATCCTGTCGCATGATAGATCCAGTTTTGAAATTTGTAATGGTACAGGCAGGAGCTTCTTTGAATTAATAATTTATGGTGGAAAACCAAATTGAGGGTTTGTATTAATGCTTCTTTAGCATTTATTTCTTGCTGTTTGAGAAGTCTGTTACAAACATGCATCCTGATAATTAATTTTAATTCTTGCTTTATTTTCAGATTAGTGAAATTGTAGGATGTGAGATCAGGCCTGATGAAACTACTACTCTTAAAAACATGTTGGAATTTGGACTCTCAAAATGTATTGATCAGTAAGAAGCTTACTGTCTTCTGTTTTGGTTTTTTTTTAAATAATCCCTGTATCTCATATGTCAGATACCAGATACATGTTTGGGGATTTTTTTGTGTGCTGTTAGACCTCGTTGTAGAATCAGTTGTATTTTATCAACATACAAATCGAACTGTCAGTTGAACTTGTAGCACAAAGGCATGAGAAAAGTCTCATATTCCTAAACCACTTAATTTGTATATTGTCTCCAAATTAATATTAATATCTCAGAGCTGCTGAGTCTGAAATTGCAAAAATATTCCCTGAAATAAGAGTCTACGATGTTATTAACAGATCCATATGAAAGGTAGCCTGATATGCAACTCTGCCTACAACTGCTTTCTTTGTTGCTCTTCAGCTATGTTGCAAAAACATTTCAAAGATACATTTCATTTCAATTTAGGCTGGAACCTATTGGAGCAGCTGCAAATAAGGAGTATTCCTTACAAAAATCAATAGAGAAAATGAAATCAGAGTGGGTCAACATGCAGTTCAGTCTGGTGCAATACAGGGATACTGTAAGTAAACACCAAATCAATATATGTATTGTTGAAAAGAAGTACTTTGATTCTGAATACCAGTTGAAAAATATTATAGGGAAGTTACTGCTGATTCACTGTGTCATGATGGAAGGTAGTATACCCTAGAGCCTGGGCAAATGTCTCCATTACTATATATCCGTCTATTTGGACCTTAGTATCTTGATAACTTGTGATCTCCACATATTCATCCTAGCAAATCTGTAAGCCTGAGAGCTTCTGTGGCAGGAAAGGTGGACAATAGTGCAATTTTAACTTGCCCAGAAGAAACAAGAGGTCATATGAAGTTCAAAAGGTTGAGTCAGAAGTCACTAGCATGCCCATTCATAAACCAATTTCTCTCTTGATCTTTGGAACAGAGATGTGCAGTGGCGATACCATTTCATATCTTCAAACATGTTGCAGGCTTTCTCAATGCCTTGTTACTTTCTTACCTTCAACCATCATAGGAAAGGGGGAAGAATGAGGATGAGGTTGAAAAGCGGTGAAATAGAGCAACTATTTGCCTTATCAAAATATGATGTGTTTACAGGACACCTGCATCCTGTCAGCAGTCGATGACGTCCAGCTTTTGCTGGATGATCACGTTGTTAAGACTCGGACAATGTGTGGCTCTCTCTTCATCAAACCAATAGAAGCTGAATGCCAGGTAAGGAAAAGCTGGTTTGATTCAGGTTGTATGTCTCATAACATGCTTTCCCTAAGTGCTTGAAGGTATTTTGGCATGGTAAGAAGTTATATGATTTTTAATTGTTTCTAAGAACACATATTCATAATTTTCTTCAAAAGCTTTGAATTAATGGTTTCCACACAAAGGTATGCAAAGCTTTCTTTCCAGCTAAAGAAATTTTAATGGCATTGCTAATCTAGTCATTGTAAGGATGAGTTTTTAGCTGAATGTCTTGGGGACGGGTCAGTTGATTTACCCAATGCAGCAGGATTTGTTTAAAAATACATAAGTCTATCAGTTGTGAGAGATAATTTATTTGTAATCCTCTGGTACTGGCATGATCCATAAGGGTTTCAAAGTCTTTTTTGTTAGCTGTCCTACTATTTTGTAAAATTATGATCTTTGTTAAAAATTATGACTTTCTAATAGGAAGATTATGCAGAAAGCAGAGACTTCTTTCCCATCAGTATTTAATACCACTTTTTCTAGCCTTATAGTGATTTGTAAGCAGTGCTAAGACCTCAATTCTGTCCTTTCCTGTGGACTTTAGCCAAATAGTAGGTAAAGCTGCTTTCCAGTAGAGCTGGTAAAATGAAAGGGAACAATTAGTATAAAGCTATCTTAATCTCCGTGTACCTCTTGCAGAGTAATGAACAATACAGACTGGCTGTGTTTTCTTCCTGCAATACATTTCCTTGTGTATCCTTTATGCTGTAGACTGTCAAAGTCACAACAGCAATGCTATCTGAACGCCTTATTGAAAAAGAATCTTTGGTTTTAAAACCAATTTGTACTGCTAGAGTTGCATGAAATGGCTTTTTTAGGGGACTGAAGATTGAACCCACTGTATATAGAGCCTGTGAACTGACAGTCTGCTGAACAGCTTGTTAAGCTTTTATCCTTTCATTGATTATAAGACAGAAAGTACACAAGTAGAATTAAAAGAAAGAGATTCTGAATTGCCGTGCTAGTCATCTCTGCGCTTCTTAGGCAGTTCTCTCACAACTTGCTAATTGTGCACTAAGAAGTGCTAGTGAAAGAATACATTTATTGTTTATAAGAAATATTCAGATGTTTATTAGTGTTTGTTTTTTAAAAAATAAAGTTTCTCCCTCTTTTTAAAATTGTTCTATTTTTTGTGGGTTTTTTCCCTTTTTTTAATTTGAAGCCAAGCAACTCATGCTCTTTGATTCCTCAGTGTAGATGAATTCTTGATATAATTTTGCTTAAATATTAAATTTTTTCATTACAGGCTTGGGAAACTAAGTTGTTTCTTGTTAATGCAAGATATTCTAGATATCTGGTTAAAATGTCAGGCAACATGCTTGTATTTGGAACCAATTTTTACTTCAGAAGACATTATAGCTCAAATGCCTGAAGAGGGCAGAAAGTTTGGGGTTGTGGATACACACTGGAAGGACATTATGGCCCAAGTGGTAAGTTCTTGAATTAATAAGTAGTGTATTTTTATGCACATCTGGTAATATGTTTATTACTATCATGAAGATACACTAGCTTTTCTGGAGTTAGATATTTTTATTTCATTTTATGTATTTCATTTACAGAGTGGAAAATCCTTTACTAAAGCCCATCAAAATCTAGTCTTGCTGTAGATTATATCATTTTTGCTTGGAGATTTCTGTAAAGTCAGGATATTGCAGGATGAATTAGAGCTTGAGTAATATTTTAATTCTAAATTTTCTGCCTTTTGTATGGTTAATTATCAGAATTAGATAGAAAGATGAATGATTTGTACTTTCTGGATCTGCTTCAGAGTATACTGACAAAGTCGTCTCTGGATACAATTAGATTTTGCATTGGGCTTTTAAGGTGTACACATTATTAGAGCAACTAAATGGATTGGTTTTTTTTGCATATGGTTGTTCTCTAACATGATGGTATGGCTATTGAAAACTTTGGTGACTACATACTGAGATGGTAGTGTGTCAGGATAAGATAATGGGGATAATAAGTGCAATTTGGTATGCTGTTCAGTTCCCTGTAACTAAGAAGTTGGGAAAGAGGCCAGATACTTAGTGGTAGTGTGAGCTGAAATGTTTGTCAAAAAACATTGGGAGTGTGTGATTGTGCGATAACGATGTTGAAATAATCAGTATGACAAAACAGAAGTTGAGACCTGTCTTAACAGCTCAGAGTCTGTGAGTGATGAAGCCTGTTCTGAAACAGGTGTATCCTTTCAAGTTGAGAGGAGTTTTATCAGAAGGAAAAAATGTGACCTAGATGGCAAGAACGGAGAGTAATTGTCATGTACTGTGGCTCTGTTTGACAGAACTTATTTGTGAATGGAAAAAAATGTAAGGAGCTGAAAACACAGGAGCAAGTACCAAAGATTTTAGTTCTTGTGGTTATTTCCTTGTTGCATTATTGTCTGTGAAGTTCAAATTGGAAAAACTGACAGTCTGAAAAGAAAAGCTGTTAAATAATGCAGACATATTTAATAACATGGAAGAATATATAGCAGCCTTTTAGCCTCCTGCAAATATGTGATTGATTATAACAATTTTAATTTACAAACCTATTGCAAGTTTTAACAGTTTCTGCGGTGTATTTGGTTTTGCAAAGGTGAAAGATACAAAGGTACTTGTAGCAACTGAACAACCCATGATGTCAGACAGACTTCAGGAAGCAAATACTCTCTTAGAAGACATTCAAAAGGGATTGAATGATTACTTGGAGAAGAAAAGATTATTTTTCCCAAGGTAAATGAATTAAATAGGCCTAAGTTAGAGACAAAAAAAGCCATAAGCTCTTTCAAACCATTTCTACTGAACTGAAAAGTCTTGTTTCGTAAATATGTGGGGGACAGTACCATGCAATAAAAAATGAAAACCTGTTCTTTTCTCCAGACATCATTAATTCTCCTCAGTTTCAGTTAAATTTGCAATGCCAGGGACAGGCAAAAATGGGGAGACAAAATTCAGTCTAGCATAGCATAAACTTATGATTAGAAAGACATTATCACTTACAGGGCATTTTTGAAGAAATTTGCTACCTTCTCATGACTGATTTGCACTTACATCTCTGCCCTACCCTCTTCAGTTGTGCAGAGGTGTGTGAAACATAGGAGTTTCATATGTTTATGAAGAACAGTATTCTATATTTTTACACGGTACTTATTGGCTGCATAGTTATATCTGATCTTTCCTGCATGAGTCTGAGGACCCTTCTTTCTTCCTGTGCATAAAAGGATGGTCATATTGAAACTCTGAATAAACAGGTGCAATCAGTTTTATACTGTTAAAAAATGCTTAAGAAAAGGGATTTGAGATAATAATTTCCTCTCTGTTATACTGGTGTCCTAAGCAACAATAAAACCAGTCCCATCTATCTGTCTTGCATGAATAAATCGTTAGTGATTATTTTAATGACTGGAAAGTGCATATTCATTAATTGTATTTTTCTGGCAGATTCTTTTTCCTGTCTAATGATGAGCTGCTTGAAATACTCTCTGAAACAAAGGATCCCCTTTGAGTACAACCACATTTAAAGAAGTGTTTTGAAGGAATTGTTAAACTGGATTTCACAGAAGATATGGAGATCGTAGGCATGATCAGTTCAGAGAAAGAAACTGTTCCTTTCATAGACAAAATCTATCCAGCAGATGCAAAAGTATTTTTCTTTTTAACTGTATGAAATTACATTAATACTTTGCCTAAAGTGTATGTTTTTGGGGAAATTCTGTTTAAAACATTTAAGGTTAGATCATGAAAGGTGTTTAGGAAGTGAGAGTGCAGACTGCTATTCTAGAGCAAAAAGGATTTCCTACAAAAAGGAGTAATCCATATAAATTAGGGACTTTTATGCAGCTTTATGCACCTACTACTCTTAAGATGTAGATTGATATGATGTAGATATATAGATATTAAACAAGCTCTCTACCTATGTATGTAACATTGCACAGGATGGCTGAAACAGAGAAATGAAAGAAATTGTGAATGGCTGGCAGTGAAGAATCAGAGCATTAGTTCCAGAGGGATCTGAGTAGAAATAGTAGCATTATAAATTTTGAAAAGTGTCTAAGTTTCAGCTTTTTCTGCTATTCTCAACATGAAGGTATGGAGCTGAATTTCTGCATGGTAACAAAAACCAGAGATGACCGGTGGGGCATATTGTAAGCTACAACAAAATATGCCCTGGGTTGAAATGACCAAGCTTAACTGACCATGCAAGCTGTGATCGGCGCTTTTTTGTTTATATGTCTATGAAACGCATCTAGTCGTTTCTTCAGCTGGATTGTCTTTAGAGTTAACTTGATTTAGCTGCTTTCAGACAGTGTTAAACTTCAGTATCACCTGTCAGAATTTGGGAAATTTCAACCTTTCTTCCTCCTATATATCACACCCAGATCAGAAGAAAGCATATTTAAGCCTAACACATTTAAAATAATTTGTCCTTTAAGAGGAATATAATCAGGAAATATCTCTTAACTATTTTTCTTTTTTGAAGTGTATGGTAGAAAAATTGCTTTTGCAAGTAGAGAAAATGATGCTGGCCAGTTTAAGACAAGTTCTTCAAGATGGCATAATAGGATATATTGAGGTAATTGTTCCTGAATTATAGTATAAAATAGATTTCAAAAGCAACTGTATAAAATAGATTTCAAAAGCAACTGTAAATGAACAGGTTTCTCAAATTCTTAACCAGGGAAACATATTTGAAACTAAGTGGAACCCAGCTCTCCTTGTCCAGTAGTACCTGTCTGAAGTTTTAACTCTGAATTTCTTGAAGGAAAAGTATCAAAAGTTTCCATGCTGATTCTCATTTATTTACAGCATGAGACAAAAATAATTGGGAAAATAGTTGTTATCTGTGCCATAATCTAATCTGTTTATATGACTTTCTGCATCTGGAATGGATCTTTCTGTTTAAGGTTCCTTGAAAAACGTGGGTACTTCAGTGGCCTGGACAGGTGGTTATTTGCGTTTCATCCATCTACTGGACAGAAGAAGTATCTGAGGCTATAAGGAATGGAACTTTACCAGTAAGATTTTTGTTTGCTTTTCTATTACTAAGCACTAAACTCTGATTATTTAATAAAAAGCTTCTTCTAGCAAAAATGATCCTCAGTGAACAACATATTACAATTTACTTGTGCAATGTGCTTTGTCTTCTATTTCCATTTTTCCTGTCTTAACTGGGGCTTGTTGTTTTTTTACTTTGATGTGTATCAGGAGAAATCCCACTGAAGGAAGTTGTATTACTTTTATTTACAGGTGAAACTGGTGTAAATAAAAGTACCAAACAAAAAGTGATAGGCTGTTTTTAAACACTGTGTATTTTTATTCCTAACTCCTGTCTTTACATGTGAAGCCCCAGGGAAACATGCAGGCAGAAATCTCTCCTTACAGAATGCCACAGTTATTTGTCTGGTTATTGCTAAATTCTTCTGGTGATAATCAGCCAAGTTGCAGCAGCCAAGTTTGTTATTTCATGCAAGAGACTTTTCTTATGTTTTCATAGTGCCTCTCTCATCACAGCCGTTTTAAGTATCATTTCATTGAAGCTAATCACATGCATGCTCAAGAAATGGAAATAATTCCTATTAATTTTATTAATTTACAATTTACCACTAATTTACAGAAGAAATCGAATCCAAATTTATCCAACAGAGAGATCATCTCCTCATGGCCTGTTGCAGAATTTTGTAATTTCTATTAGGAATAAAGATAAGACTTCTGCTTACACTACTTTCAGGCCATAAAGCTTTTGAAGTGCTCGTAGTAAAATAAAATGCCAGTATATGAAAGAGAAATTTAAATGTTTGTGTAGTGCCTGGACTTCCATTATTATGTTTTGTTGGAAGGGCTGTTGCCGACAACTGCACCCACGGGAGTTTAGGAACTGCTAGCTACAGTATTATGTCAATGCCTTTGTTCTGTTTCTGTGACAGGATTTCTTAGAGAAGAGCAATCTACAAATTGGGGACATCGTTGAGTTAGTGAGAGGAAAGCTGTCCACTGGAGCCCGGCTGACGCTTGGAACTCTTACTGTCATTGATGTGCGTGGTAAATGTGCAGTTGCTGGTACTCTTGTTACATCTGGGACAGTGCTGCTATTGTTGGGTGAACTATTTGAAAGGGGCAACTAAAATGCTTTCTGAACTTGAAACAACAGTTACAGAATTATTGCACAGTGTCTTTGGGCAAATGGAGATTGCTCAGTCCTGCACAACCATCTTCTGTCTACTTAGAAGAGGCACTGGAATCTAAATCAAATTAAGCTTATTAAGAACAACATATAACTAAACTAACATAGCAGAAGTGTTTAGATTTTTCAAATAATCTGTGTCTTACTCTGCAGCTCGTGATGTGGTTGCAAAATTGGTTGAAGACAATCACAGGTCTGAATGACTTCCAGTGGATTTCTCAGCTGAGATACTACTGGGAAGAGAAGGATGTAATTGTGCAAATGATTACAACAGAAGCCAAATATGGTTATGAGTATCTGGGCAATTCTCCATGTCTGGCTGTAACCCCACTAACAGATCGATGTAACAGGTAAAGCCATATTGTCAGAATGTTTTCATTTTTTGGATTGATCAATATTTACTTTTGTTTGTTATAGTTAATTATAGCAGAAACCTTGTCAGCTAAGATTTTCCTGTAGGCTTTGGAGACAAATCTTGTATCTCTTCTTTGCCCAAATATGATAAAATATTTGCAATGTGTAGGTTTCTACACAAGTAGAATAATAGTCTCTGTTGTATCCAAGGATGTGCTTCTGAAAAGAGCTGGCAGCTCGTGGAACGGAACTGTAAAGAACTCTACAGTAGCACTGGTCAATTAATTTCTTTGAAATAAGGCATATAGGTAGGGTATGCCTGCCTGTAAAATAAATGAGGTAATTATAGATCCCTTCAAAGATGTTTGAATGCAGTTAGCTTCCTATTCTTCTGCTTGCTTGAATAAGGTTGAAATAGAAATACTTCATTCCCCAGGGTTGATGTATTCAATGGTTTGTGCTATTTCAGTTGTGGTAAGCCTTGGAGACTCAGGTCATCTCAGCAGGTAATTTTAGATCTAAGTTTTAAAGAACTTTTTAGTATCTCCAAGCAAATATATGGTGAGAATGTAAAGATTTTACTTCAGCAGTGAGCTGTGAACTCACCATCGTGTAGAAGGCACTTGTAGTGAAGTGCCTATGTTAATGCCTATACTGGCACATGCTTAATCTTTTGACATTCACAGTGGTGTTGAAAGAGCCACATGGCTGGAGCATTAGCTGTAAACTGAGGTTGTTATTAGGATTAGCTCTATGTAAACTAAGGCTATGCAGTCAGCTGTGCCAGATGTAGTTTCAGTGCAAGCAATGAGCAAGCAGACTATTCAGCACAACTTAACAACTGCTTTTGGTCGCAGCGCCTTCAAATGAGGCTTTTGTAAAAGAATGAGATCACTCCGGTGTTAACAGGGTTCTTATTTTTAGTATGAAAATCACTTGGAGAGCAACGTGATTCCCAGGTTTATGAAACAACCTTTATGTTTTCTCAGCCTTTTCTAAAGATTGACTTCATTTATAAGGCCAGCTTAAAGCTCTTGTCATGAGAAGTGCTACTTGATGAAAATGCATGTTTCTGTCAACTCTGCCATTTTGCTTATGGCACTGTGCATTTGCTTGTGTAATTGAGGATATATACAATACATGCAGATAATAAAAAGGCTTGGCATTCCTTGTAGGCCAAGTGAGTGAGTATGAGTTTTCACAATTGGGAATCAGTTATGAGACAATACTGGCTTTTTTAGGGCAAGCTGCAGAGTCAATAGGGAACATGTAAATAGTTCCTGGGAGAACCTGTATAGCAAAATACTCATCATAGAATCACAGAATGGTTTGGGTTGGAAGGGACCTTAAAGCTCCTCTAGTTCCAACCCCCTACCAAGGGCAGGGACAGCTCCCACTAGACCAGGCTGCTCAAAGCACCAGCAAGCGTGACCTTGAACACTTCCAGGGAGGGGGCATCCACAACTTCTCTGGGCAACCTGTGCCAGTGTCTCACCAGCCTCATAGTAAAGAACTCCAGAACTGCACACAGTACTCCAAGTGGGGTCTCACGAGAGCAGAGTAGAGGGAGAGAATCACCTCTCTTGACCCACTGGCCATGCTTCTTTTGATGCAGCCCAGGATACAGTTTGCTTTCATTTATCTATCCCTTGGCTTTCTTTTTATCCATCCCTTCAGAAACAATCTGCCATTAGAGATTACTATTTCTAATGCCTGTGTTCTTGTTTATGTAGGACATTAATGGGTGCCTTGAAATTAAATCTTGGTGGTGCTCCAGAAGGACCTGCTGGAACTGGCAAAACAGAAACAGCAAAAGATCTAGCAAAAGCACTAGCTAAGCAGGTATCAACATAAAAACTTCTTCTTTGCATTGTTTATGTTTTGATATGTAGATACTTCTTGAAATGCCATACTTAAGCAAGTACTGCCTGTTCTGTACCTATTTTAATTCACAGAAATAGTTGCTAAGAAGCAACTGTGTCTATATGGCGTCCCAGTGTTGTAATTGAAAGTTAGCAATAATAATCACTTCCCATATTTGATGCTAAGAATTTTACAGTGGAATGTGTTAATACTGAGAGATGTACTCTGTGTGTTTTTGTTGTAGTGTGTGGTCTTTAATCGCTCCAATGGTCTTGATTACAAGGCAATGGGCAAGTTTTTTAAAGGGCTAGCACAGTCTGGTGCATGGGCCTGCTTTGACAAATTCAATAGAATAGAGGTAACATTTTAACTCAGACAAATAAAATGACAGAGCTTTAATTTAAGACAGAAAAAGGTTTAGATTTAGACATGACAACATTATTACCAATTTTCAACTTTAGTTTGTGGTTTAGCCTCTTTACTTTGATAATCACTGACACAGAAATAGATACTCAGCTGCCTGCTTTAGGAGCACGTGCCTACCTGTGCTGTGTTGCAGAAGTCTCGTGTTCTGGGTTAGCTGAAAAAAATTGTTCCTGTGCAATTTCCTCTTTTCTTTTCACTTACTTGTTTGGAAAGATCTGTCCTTCTCCTTAAGAAATCAAGCTACAGCTGTGAGGCTGCTTTTTCAGCACAAGACAGACAAATCCCAGTGGAGGGATTCCTGTGATGTCTAGCTGAGAGTCACTAAGTGGCCTGGTTAACTAGCTGTGTAACCAGACACACCTAATCCCCTCCTTGGTCTAACTGTGCTTTTTTTTTTTCTTTGTATGGTTTTTCCTTTTTTTTTAATTATTTTGTCAGTAATGACTATGGATAAGTGTTGTTATTTTTGATGGAGTTAGATTTAAGTAAATATTTGTAGATGTGGACATTCTGTTAAGTTCTGTTTTGTATGTTTAAGTATCTGTAGCACCCTAATTTCTCCATTTGTCTACTGTAACGTTTTTTAAGATTAATTCAAGTGTTAGTATTCTCATTTTCCAATATTCTGCACTTTGATACTTTAAAGCACTGAGGATTGGTGCTAGGCTGCCTTACCCATTCTTTACATTTGCCCTCAATTTGGGGCATCGAGTGAACCAGACTTTCTGAGGAGCCTAAGTTCTTTATATTGTCTGAAGTGAAAGGGAAGTGCTTTTGGAGGCCTCCAGAGGGAGTTCCTGTCCAGCTAACTTAGACGTCTACATGAGGCAGATTATATTTCCCTGTGGAGACTTTTAGAAGCCTCTGTTGATCTGTCTATAGTGGTTGAATAGGGAATGGTGGCACTAAGTTCCAGAGGATCAGTTCAATAGAGGGCTAATATTTAAGGTCGGTTATCAGACACAAGGTGATTTTTGTCTGGAGGAATGCAAATATAGCCATCAAAATACATTATAAAACTCTATTTTATATTGTCTCCAAGTGTCTTATGTTTTCCAATCTGTTCTGTCTGTATTAGGTTGAAGTTTTATCTGTAGTTGCCCAACAGATACTTAGCATACAGCAAGCTATTATTCGCAAACTCAAAACATTCATCTTTGAAGGGACAGAGCTCTCTCTTAATCCTACCTGAGCTGTGTTTATCACAATGAATCCTGGGTATGCTGGATGGGCAGAACTGCCTGATAATCTGAAGGTAAATCTGGAATCCTGATTTCTTGTAGCAGTTAAACAGAATTTCCAGCTTCTGTTTTATTGCAGTAAGAAAAGGAAGGCAGAAATCAAATAACCCATTCAAGTGTATTCTGCTGTGCATTTTGCTAAGCTTTAATAAGTTTTTAGGATTGTACAAAATGCACAGATGAAAGGTCTCAGTCTAACCATACTGGTACCAGTTCACAGCTTTAACTGTGCTCTCTCCAAGTGGAAATCCCAATTTAAATTTATTACAGTTTTGCAAGTTGCTGAGCTGCTGCAGAGAGACTGATATGATCCTAAGTCTTTTCCTAGCATTGTCACAATTTTTTGCATGACCTTTTAACAAGACATTAACCATATGCAGAGAGACAGACAAAACTAAGAACTAAGCAACCATGTGCTAGTTCGTCTGTTATGAAAGTGAGATGAATGACATCTCCTTCTTCCTCTATTAATACTTCTTTAGGATTGTGACTCTTTCTTAACGTTTGGTCCTACAGTGCTTAACCACAGACCTCTTGAACCTCTTGATAAGATCACAGTTCTAGTAATCTAGTAACAATTCTAATGCAATTTCATTCATTTCAGATGATTCCTGAAGTCATGAAAATGGAATACAGAGTATAAAAGTTCATGAAGTTATGGAGAGATACTATTCTTACAAAACAAGTGCAAGTTATTACCATATTCCATAGTCCAAGCTTATATCTTACTTTTTGTTCTTACAGGCACTGTTCCGGACAGTTGCCGTGATGGTTCCAGATTATGCTTTGATTGGAGAAATTTCACTTTCTTCAATGGGATTTTTGGACTCTCAGAGGTAAGATATGCTGAATTTTCCCCCTCAGCTGAGTCTGATATACCTCATTGCTCTATAAGTCATGTATGCGTGTTTGAGGCATGTAATTCTGGAAGGCTGTCCATGTTCTGTTTTTACAGAAAGTACTTTTTAATCTCCTGTTTTATCATCAGTTCTCATTTACCACTTCCTTTTGATGCATATGCACCTCTACACAGGATCATTTGGAAAATGTATCATACTACCAAACAGAATTTCAAAATGGCACACACTTTCTCTGTCATGGCACAATCTACAGTTTTGCTTCCTAGGTGTTTTGGGCCATCTTATCAGCTGATATGTCTTATAATTACTGCAGTTACTTTATGTATATAGGTACTTAAATTATTTTCCTTGTGTGGTGTGATATTTTCATTCTGCATGTGATATTTTAATATCCACTGTCTTGCCCAGAAAATTGTTGCCACTTACTGTTTGTGCTCTGAGCATCTCAGCATCATTATGATTATAGAATGCGTGCTGTTAAATCTGTCCTGACAGCAGCAGGAAACTTAAAACTGACATACCCAGCTGAAAATGAAAGCGTATTGTTATTTCGGGCATTGCTGGATGTTGACTTGGCCAAATTCTTGGCACAGGATGTGCCATTGTTTCAGGTAAGCTATCAGGTTGATTTGTTTAAGTTTTGTGATGATGAGGTCCATTATAAGAACTTACAGAAAGAGGTCATTATCTTGATTTAGAACAGTTTGATCTGCATGCTGCCATATCAGTGTAGAGTTATTTCAGTTCAATCTGAATGATGATCTGGATGTTTTATAAAATATCGTGCTAAAAGTCACTTTGTGCTGTTTAATTCATGGAAACCATATTTTGAAGTTTGCATTCTGGTTTTGTGCTGCAAAAGAGATGTGAACAACTAAATTATGGTCAATTAGAACTTTGAAGTCAGATTGAAAATCATGTTTCTGTTTGCATGCTGCTTTAATAGTAAATAAAGACTATATTAAGCTACAGAGCAATCAGTATGAAAGACCTAAAAGCTAAGGTACAATCACAAACAGATTCATTACTCTGAAATTTCAGAACGCTTACCCTTCTATTTAATCACTGAAATTCTTTCAACCACTTTCACATCCTTTCCAGTAATACTTTTTGAGGCAAATTTGAAGAAGGTTAAGCTTCCTCTTACAGTATCAATGTGTGTATGAAAAGTTCAGGCACTCATTTCTGTCTCATGCATACAGAATACTTTCACGGCTATGGTTTGCTGAGAAGGTAGTTTTGTCCAGCTGAGGACATTTCCTCTAAGCTCCTGTTAACTGTATGAATGTTATTTTACTTGTAGATTTTCATGCTTTGGAAATTTTCCCTTTTTGTAGTCTGTGTTTAAATACTGTTCTATTCTGTCTTTCCTTAACAGGGCATTATATCTGACCTGTTTCCTGGGTTGGTTACTCCTACACCTGACTATGACCTGTTTGTCCAGGCACTGACTGAAAATATAAAAAAATGGGTCTTCAACCAGTTCCATGGTTCATTGGAAAAATTATTCAGGTTTATTTTCACATACTTACTTCTGGGGAAAAAAAGTGTGAGAGTGGAAACATTCTTCATTCACTGCCTGTGTCATAAATGAAGAGCTAATGGTTTCCATGATCAATTAATAGAATATTACAAACAGCATATTTTTGCCATGTAAAAATCATGGAGCAAAAGCCTGCTTTGTTGGTAGTGATTTTTTCATTCAGCCAGCCTGTGAAGCAGCTCATGTGTGCAGCCACATCTTAAGTCTTCTGGTGCAGGATAGAGTATTAAACTGAATTTCTTGCTTGCTGAGGCAGTACATCCTAGTGAACAGAACTCTAGACTCGGACAGGCTCTGTTCCCGGTTCCGCTCACAGTCTCCTTGAGAAGTACTGAAAGCAGTGACATTTCTCACCCTTGCTTATGCTTCACCTCCAGCTCTATGTTCTCGTTGTCTCTCATTTATTAGTATTAGTGACCTTTTAAAGAATGCTTAAGGTTTTTGTTTCTTTGGTTGTTTTTGGGGTTTTTTGTTTTCTTGTGAGTTGCACAATTTAGTGACAGTGTAACGGCAAGGGCAAAAATGCATGGCCTGGGACAGGATCGTGAGAGGCCCCTCCAACAGCAGTTCAGACTTTATGGCTTATGTTCAGACTTGGCTTTTGCTGCTTTGCAAACCATGCTTTATCTTTTATATAAATAGAGGCAATATTAACTGGTTAGGAATTTAAGATAAAACAGCTTAAATTAAAATATCAACCTTAAACTGAGATTTAAAAAAAACCAAAAACCTTTTTAGGGCTTCTTCTTCCAGGTCTGCCTGTAGGTGTTCTGTTTGAAGGCTGTGACCTGAGTTCTGGCAAGATCTTGTTGGGTGACTGAAGAAGTTACCATCTTTGCAGTCCAAAGACAGCCTCTGTGCGACAAGTCATATGACAGATCTCCAGAACTGTAGTTTCAATTCCTTTGTGTTAGCTCCACTGGTAACCATTGATTTCAGTTTAGACATTTATGCTGGGCTGTGATCTGTAGTATCTGATTAGTGTGCTCACAGCCTGTACAATTATGCTATTAGAGATGAGGGATGGCCTTTAGCAAGGAGAAAGTAAGGGTATCTGTGGGCAAGGACTTCTTAAATTATGTCAGTGAGAATTGCCATAATAATATGACTGCCTTCTGATTTTGGTTAATGCTTCAGTCAGTCTTAATAGAGTGCAGATGTTTGGCTGACATTTTGTCCTGTTGCATCTGAGTGCAGGAGAGATACCTCTCATTTCATACATATAATGCTTACTTTTGTGCTCTGTAAAGAGTCAGTCTCTTGTCATTGGTACAGGTATATGAAATGATGATGGTGCACCATGGTTTCATGATTGTTGGAGATCCTTTGAGTGGGAAGACCTGTGCATACAAAGTGCTAGCGGGAGCTCTTGGCAATTTCTGTGCAGGTAACATTCGTCAGCCACAAAATTCTCACTAAATGAAGTTAATTCTGTGACAAATGTTTTTCCTTCACAGAGATATGCCCAGGTTGTTAATTGTCCTTTATTCTATTTTCTAGTTTCTATTCATTGAACCACTCTTGTCTGGAAGTACTTTTGTCTGCATTTGCTGGAATAGTAAAACATACTAATGTGTTTATACTTTTATGTATTTTGTTAAGCATTGTATTTGTGCATAATACTTTTGAAAAAACTACCTCTGATAGGGAGATCGTAAGTAGCTCTCACGAGCATAAAATCTGTTCTGCTCTGCTTTTTCTTTTTTTCATGTGCTTTTGCACGTAGGACTTTGTCCTTTCCTTCTACAAATAATGGAAGTTCTTATATTATTCTTGGGCAGCTAAAGTAGGATCCTCAGGAATCTTCTTGTTCAGTTGTTGAATGAAACAAACTTATAAAATTCTGAAGCTCATCTGTTAATCTTTTTCCACAGCAAAATCCATGGAACTGAATACACAGTTATTAATTCCAAAGCAATTACTATGGGACAGTTGTATGGCAGTTTTGATCCTGTAAGCCATGAGTGGTCAGATGGAGTTCTTACAAATGTTTTCAGAGAACAAGCATCTTCTACTGCAGAGGATCAGAAGTGGATTATTTTTGATGGCCCAGTGGATGCAGTTTGGATAGAGAACATGAACACTGTGCTGGATGGTAATAAAAAGGTAGCATAATTTTTGCCAGTAACCTTGTCCTTGAATATACATATTTTATTTTAGTAGTAGCAATATTGTTACCATGATAGTCAAAGGAGGTGTGAGACTCAGGAAAAGCTGATGCGCTTAAAAGCATTGCTTTTCCCACAATTATATGAGTTTGTTTAGTAGATGATCTTAAGCTGTTACTTCTCCCTAGAGACCTTGTCTTCCTCCTACTTTATTGAAAAGAGGTTGCTCACTGAGGCTTTTTCATGAACCCATTTAGGAGGGTGAAATAAGTAAACTCAGTTCTGTAACTAAAAACTGGACTTGCTTAAATTACTTAGTGAATAAATTGACTCAAAAAAGCTGCAGGTCACAACTGCTTTTCCTTGCAGAGTTATTTTAAGATAGAACACTATTCTCTGTGTCTCTGCAACCCATTACAGTAACGTGTGGAAAAGTTGAAATTACATCAGAAAATACCATGTGTTATGAGAACATGAATGAGTGAATGAGGAGTGACAGTAAGTAGAATGTTCAGTGATTCCGTGACAGACATTTCTTTGACTGGATGGTCAGCACTGACATAACTAGATCATGTTTATGTGATGCTTTTTTTCTAGCTATGCTTAGTGAGTGGTGAAATAATTCAGATGAATTAAAAAATGAGTTTAATCTTCGAACCAGCAGACTTAGAGCAGGCATCTCCCGCAACTGTCAGCAGGTAATGTGAAAGCATTTGAACTTGAACTGTCCCATCTTGCGCATCTATTCCTATACCATAGTTGTTTGTTCTTCCCAGGTGTGGTATGATCTATATGGATCCGCAGCAGTTAGGTTGGAAGCCCCTGAAGGATTTCTACATGAATACACTGCCTCCAAACCTGCAAGAAGAACACCAAGAGCTGGTGCGAGGCTTAATTTTTTAACATAAGTCTAATTTAGAAGATTAACTCTTATGTGATGTTCCCAGTTTGCCAACTTGAAGGCAGGCATGCAGATTCAAAGTTTTTGAAGGTCTTTCATCTAGGGGGTCCTAGATCTCTTAGAAGGTGTTGTAAATTATTTTGTAGTGATGAATGTCACATCTTGTTGCAATGAAAGTGCATCAAGAGCTGGAGATGCCATGAGTACTAGAAATGCAATGTGGGAAGTACTGGAAGACAGCATTTTCGGAACTCATCCTTATTCTGTCTAAGACATCTACAGTTTAGTTTGAGAAATGCTCCAGGGCAGAAGAAACTTGTGTTCACTATCAGATGATGGTGAGACTTTGTGATAGCTACAGTACTGCCTTACATGGGTCCTTTCCTAATCTTTCCTCTGCCAACTTAGAGAATTTCTGATGCCTTGTGTTTTATTGAGAGAGAATTGAAGGATAGTGGGAAATGTGGTATCTCTTGCATTGCTTTAAAGACACTTCCTTTACTCCTGGCCCGTCAATGACATGTTCATGGGGCTAGTCCAGCCCTGTTTAGACTTTATTCACCTTCATTGCAAAGCCATTATACAAACATCCTCTCTTCATCTGAGTTACAGCTTGATGAGATTCTTTACTTGTCTGCTTGGTAAGTACCTTAAGCCTTTTTATTTTTATTTCAATTTTTGTTTCTCTTGCTGTGTCCCATAACAAGATGCATGTTATCAGATGCAAGGAAATACCAAAGGAAGGAATTCCTTTACTGTTGGGATCACATGACACAAGTCCTTTCTCACTGACCAGTATTAATAATAGTGCTTTGACTAACATACAGTGCTTTCACATTTGGACACTGGTGTGATTACAAAACTGAACATGGTCTTTTGAGTATATTCCATGTGTTTTGTTTGCTGTTTGCTAGCATTTGAAGAAAAGAATGAGGACCCTTTGTAAATATTTTTGTCTCATTTATTTTTATTTGAAAACAGTATTTTAGACAAAAAAGATCCTCACTCTGTAGGCTAGCTTTGTTCCACTGAAGACAATACTCCAACTTTATCTCAGAATGCTTTTGAAAAAAAATTTGAATTGGAATTCATGGTTATTACTGTAATTGAATTAAAGTTAAAAATATGTTTTAGATGAAATAGAGGAATCTGGGGAAGAGGAGAAGGAAAGCACGTCTAGTCAGCAGATCATGTTGTGGCTGCGGGGGCTCTTCCTTTTTGCTTTGGTTTGGACTATTGGTGGGATCATCAATGCAGACAGCAGAAAGAAATTTGATTTGTTTTACTGCAACTTGCTACTGGAAGTGGTTGGTGAAAACCCACACCCTAAAAATGTGAAGCTTACCAGAAACGTCTTCCCAGAAAAAGGTGCTTCTTCATAACTGTACTTGCCTGACTTTTTATAAGGCAATAAGAAAATTCAGTACTGTAGGGGAGAATAGAGTGCCTAGCAGATGTTAAGTTTGCAGCAGAGCCACCATCTGCCAAGCCTTGAGCTGCACAGTTGGGTGTTCTTTCCTGGCTCTTTTAAGCAGGAGTAGCATATGCCTCATACTGTACTCAAGCAATGTAGCTGAATCTGACCTAAAATAATATTGTGATGATAACGGCGGGGGGAGAGGGAGGGTATCTTATGTAGTAGAAAGCCTTCATTATCTCACAGTGTTGGATGTCTCGCACTAAAATTATTACAGTTATTTTTATACTTTAATCAGTGGGTTTTCCTATGTTGTATTTTTCAGTTAACAGGGAGTGTTTATGACTTGTATTTTCACAAGCATGGCAGTGGGCAGTGGCACATGTGGACAGAGTACATTACAAAAGAAGAGCAAGTTATCTCCCCAGGGGCTAAGGTTCACATTGATATATTTCATTATACAAAATAATTATTTTGCTATATAATTTAGAGGTGTAAATCAACTACCTTAGCTAGCTCTGATTCTACTATATTAGGCTGTTTAATGTTTGAACTGCAACATTTCATTAATCTCTGTTGGCTCCTTTTCACGCTTATGTCTTAATTTTGGTACCATCAATATTTAAAGTTCAGTACTGCAGATGAATATAGAGCCCTGAGGTTGGCTGTTGGTTCTGCTTTTGCCTCTGTAATAGCATCTGATGTTGGGGAAAACATAGGAAAAGTCCAAAGCCTGAATTTCCATTCCTTCATTGTTGTTTTCTGTAGTTGATATAATGATATTATAGTATGAGTTAATCAGAAAAAGCAAGCGAAGAGTCTTGGTACTTCTTTGGGATATGGAGAGTAGTACTGAGTCTCGAATCCCCTCCATTTCCAAATAGGGGCACTCACATTCTGATGGCAGCTATGAACGCAAGGAAATGTGGAGCACAGCAGAAATCTGTAAAAAGTACCTAGTCTGCAAATGAAATATCAAGATAACTTAATTGTTGTTTGTTCAGCTTTTCATTCTATTGTAGTTCCAACTGTCTTGTCTATTAAGTACGCAAGAAGCAAGATTACATTTCATTCTGCTATCTAAAATCTTTTCTTGTTATCTAGTGCACAGCTGCTAATGGTAAGTGGAAGATGAGGAAGAGAAAGAAATTTCCATAACACTCTTCCTTTCCTTTGCACAGTAGGGGAACAGAATTAAGTCATAGTTAACCATTCAGTTCTCCTCCTGGCTTTACGTAGTGTCTATGAACCATACGATAGATAATATTAGTAGTGTTATTTAATGTATAAACACTGAATAAGAACTGGGACCATACTATCTGCCAGAACCTTGTTATAGCCTAGGTTTTCAGAGAAAATAATTTTTTAAAATGGATTTGTCTTGCAGGCTTCCTGTAGCTACTTGTAACTATTCATGTGGATTAAGGTATTAGATGTTTGATTTTCACATGTGTTATTTTAATTTCCTGTGTAACAGGTATCTGAGCTAATCATTCCGACAATGGAAACTGCTAGACAAGTGTTTTTTCTTAAAACATATGTGGAGCATAATATCCCTTTGCTTTTTGTGGGTCCCACTGGCACTGGGAAATCAGCTATAACAAACAGTTTTCTACTACAGCTTCCAAAGCTAACATACTTCCCAAGCTTCATCAACTTCTCTGCAAGAACCTCTGGTAACCAAACCCAGGATATTATTATGTCTAAGCTGGACAGAAGAAGAAAAGGATTATTTGGGCCCCCTTCAGGGAAAAAAGCTATAATATATGTGGGTAAGACAGGTTTTTCAGGGTATTTATATAATTGAGATTCTGGCTCTAGGCAAAGAAAGTGATTCACTGAGACTAGTAATTTTGGATTGCCTCAGTGCTGGTTTTTTTCAGACATCCAAAGAAGGATTAGGACTGCCCCCTGCTGAAAGGTGTCTTAACTGTTGAAGTGGTGGTTATCTTCAGAATAGTTCATAGTGTTGCAGTGTGAAGTAAAATGAAACAAAATCACCAACCATGCTAAGTTAAACCGTCACCCCTAAGTATGCCTGTGAAATATAATGTCATTTGAATCTGGTTTGTTTAATGGGAAGCAAGAATAATACAACATCTGATTCAGTTCTTTTTCCTTCATGGCTTTGAAAGAAAACTATAATTCCTGAACACTGAAGGTTTGTTATTCAATATCTATGTTCCCCACAGATGACCTAAACATGCCAGCAAAGGAAGTGTATGGAGCCCAGCCACCTACTGAGCTTCTCAGATGATGGATTGATCATGGTCACTGGTATGACAGGAAAGATATATCCAAGATTAATCTCATAGATGTGCAGCTTGTTTCAGCTATGGAACCACCTGGGGGAGGCAGGAATGGTATTACAGGTAGGAAATACGTTAATATAGCAAGAAATTATCTAATTGGCTGAAGTTAAGAGGCAGGTTTAGTTTTGCCAATAACAAATTCTACATTTATCTATTGTAAATCTACAGATACATTCACTGGCTGGGTCTTGCCAAACAGAAGTCTGTAAGCTCAAGGTCAAATCTGTACCTTTTCCAGGCAGAGTTTAATCAAGATTAGAAACAATATTAAGAATGATGAAAGTAATTCTAAAATTGGAGAACTGGGCACAATTTCTACTTTCTGTTATTTGAAAAGGGAAGGGAATACATCTTGCCAAGTCTCTTTGGCAATTCTTGTCTGAAATTCTGTCTCCTGCTGCTAAGATAGGCTGCCTGCATTTACTTACAACCATGTTGCCTGCAAGTCTGTCATACCACTGTAAGGGAGGTAATATTTTCTAATGAAAAAGTCATGTCAGTAGAAGCCCTAATGCAGCTACAGCTGCACAGTTATAAGACATTTTATGCTACTTTGCTTGATATAAACACACTAATACAGATATAACTGTATGTGTTCTGAGGTAGCTTTATTAAAACAACTATTCTGATACAGCTAAATTTGTAAAATTTACTAGTGTATAGACTGATTTTTAGATTAAAGCAAATAACAAGATAATTGCTTTTGTAAAGTTTTACTGTGTCAGATCATGATCAACAGGGCTTTATGTGAGTTGAAATTTAAATTGGGATGATAGTGGCCTTCTTGTAATGGAGAAAGTGAAATACTGACGTAAAATGTGAAACAGCTTATATTCTTTTGCATCACTGCTGGGGCAGAAATTTGCCAGAAACAAAATCATGGAGCTGGAGCCATATTCAGCTGTTGTTGTTTGCGTGACAGTCAGTCCTAGAAAATGCTAGCTGAAAGGCGGAAAAATGCTTGGGTATTCCTAAACCTTATCTTTTTTGTGTGTATGACAGGACGCTTCACATGGCACTTGAATATTGTATCTATCTGTTCTTTTGATGATGACGTATTAACCAAGATTTTTACTGCAATTGCTGATTGACACTTCAGCAAAGGCTTTGAGTCTCTGTAAGGTAATGTGATATACTTCTTGTAACAACTTTGTCATCTTTTCTTCTGCAATTTATCTGCAGAACTTAAAATTGTATCCCTTTGCCTTCTTAAGGCTAGGTAAGATGATGGTCCAAGCGACAATGGTGATTTATAAAATGGCGATTGAGAGTTTTCTCTCAACTCCTTCAAAATCCCACTATGTCTTTAATCTATGGGATTTTTCTAGGGTTATTAAAGGAGTGCTGCTTTGTGCACACACTCGTTTGCAGGTCAGTTGTAGTTTAATTATGTTGCTGTAAGAAAAAGCAATGGAAAAAGTAAATTATTTTTATTGTATCAATAAGTAAACATCTCAAAATTCATGAACTATGATTTCAATAGGTTTAGAACCTTTAAAATCAGGATAGGCCCCTGAATACCTTGCTCTATGTTTTCTGTCTATATCTGAAAAAGACAGCTTTCATTTTTATTAATATTCTTTACATGTATTACAGTTGGGCTCAGAAATCCAAGGCCCATTTGTTGAGGCTTGTACATCAAGTCAGACAGTTCCTTCTCTTGGACTTGCAAACAAACATGGGAAAAGACTCAGTATCTGTCTTTCAAATGGCAAGCGCATCAGTAAACAAGCCTGAATAATTTAGCCCCGAGTTTGCCTGTTGTCACAAACTACAAATTAGCACTGATGGATGTATATGATTTTCATCCTTCTACTTTTTCCATCCATTTTCAGTCAAATGTCAGGTTAAAGGAGTACTAAAGGTTTTATTTCTGTTGGGGGAATGTTTTGGGTGCAGAAACAGAACAAAATGGCTGCAAGCTATTCAGGTGAAATCTTAGCCAGCAAAAGTTTTGCGCAGGGCTTGGGTTAGAGCCCATGAGCCATATCTTTGAAAGATGTGTTCTTTGCTTTATGTTGGAAGAGTGTGCAGATTTGATGCAATAGAGAAAAATGCTTTGACATAAGAGTCCCAGTTTGTATTGGCAGGAAGGCAAGATGGTAACTAGGTGAGGAAGCCAGTTAAGTTAGCAGATGCTGAGCCATGTGCTGAATAGCTTGGAATTGGAAAATTCCCACTGAGTTTAGTACAAGATACAGCAGGGTCCAGATGGACATTTATGTCATTTTGTTTTTAAACAAATCCTGCCTGAGCTATATTTACCCATTTTCTTGTATTTACATTTTTAGGATGGAGATAAACTGATCAGACTTTGGATTCATGAGGTTTACCGAGTTTTCTGTGATCGCTTAGTTGAGGAGGAGGACAGGAAGGTATTCTTTCAGATGGTACAAGCAGCAACATCAAATAGCTTCAAGCAGAGCTTTGATAAGGTATTTTCGGGTAATGTACTGGGTCCAAGAATGAGACTGATGCATTTTCAGATGTACTTAAAACACTGAGATTACATCAGTACTGGTCACTTTTTGAATTATTTCTGTCAGTGCATTGAAAAAGTATGGATGGTCTTCTATTTGTATTGTGTATTATAGGTATTCTTAGTGAGGTTAATCACAGAATGTTAGGAGTTGGAAGGGACAATTCCCTGTTAATTATTAATTACATAAATACATAATTCATATCAGAACAATTAATAACTTCTAAAGTATTATGTGTTGGTACAGAGGACTATGTGGAATAAACGTCTTACACAATATTTATCTGTGCTTTTGCTTAAATTAGTATTTGGATAGGCCAATGGATGGGTCCTTTTCTGAGAAACCTTTTGGGAACTTGTCCTATGTATGACAGCAGAATCTCTCTGTGAGATATGCATATGTGGATGCAGTTTGCATGTCAACCTACAGCACATTTCCCATTTAGGTAGTTGGGGTGTTTTGTTGGTTTTTTTCAGGCTAAAATAATAACTAGAATAGCTGGGAAACAGTGCTTCCCACAGTATTATTACTATGTAGATAAGAATGATAATGACTTTAAGGAAAATAAGTCTCTAATAATTTGAATTATCTGTTGATTCTTGTCTTTTCTCTAGGTACTGAGTCATCTCTCACCTACTGGAGAAATCTCTGATAATAATATTCGCAGCTTGTTCTTTGGAGATTATTTGATGCCAGACACTAATGAAAAAGTGTATGATGAAATCACAGACTTAGATCAACTGACAACTGTGATGGAACGCTACCTTGAGGAATACAACAATATCAGCAAAGCACCAATGTCCTTAGTCATGTTCAAGTTTGCTATTGAGCATATCTCAAGGATATGCAGGGTGTTGAAACAGGATAATGGACATCTGTTGTTGGTGGGAGTTGGTGGGAGTGGTCAACAAAGTGCTACCAAGCTAGCCACCTACATGAATAACTTTGAACTCTTTCAAATTGAAATTACAAAGTCCTATGGAATCTATGAATGGAAAGATGATGTTAAACGAGTCATGCTACAAGCAGGTGTAGGTAACAAAAATGTGTCCTTTTTGTTCTGCAATAATCAAGTAAAGGATGAATCATTTGCAGAAGATATAAACATGCTTTTGAATACTGGTGATGTGCCCACTATCTTTGCAGCAGATGAGAAAGCTGAAATTGTTGAGAAAATGCAAGCTGCAGCAAGGATGGAGAACAGGAAAATTGAAGCTACTCCCCTTGCTATGTACAATTTCTTCATTGAAAGGGTGAAGAAAAATTTGCATATTGTCTTAGGTCTGTATACAATGTGTTATTTCTTAGAATGTTTTTTCTTAGGCTCATTTTTTTTTCTGCTTCCTGTGAACAAACTTAGGTAACAGTCATGATTTTTTTTTTCTAGCCATGAGTCCTATTGGAGATTAATTTTGGAATAGATTACGGATGTTCCCTTCACTGATAAACTGCTGCACAATTGATTGGTTCCAAACCTGGCCTACAGATGCTTTGGAAATGGTTGCTAACAAGTTTTTAGAAGATGTGGAACTTGAAGATGACATTAGAAAAGAGTATGATTTTAATGTTCCTCCTCATGCCCCCAACATACTTGATAAGGAAACTATGCTTATAAATGGACAAAGTTTAAGGCAACTCTGGGATATCAGTGCAAGTCAAAGACAGATATATATATCTCTGATGTTTCTGAAAATCAGGCCACTCTTTTAAAGAGGTCTAAGATATTTCTTATAATGGGGAAGAAACAATTCTGCCTTCACTAAGACTAATATAATTTTATAAGATTGGAGTTATTTCCTCATAATTAACATAAAGACAGATTTTATTTTCATAGTAATGTGGAAAAATTTTCTCTAGGGTTGTGTCAATGTGCAAATATTTCCAAGGAAGTGTGAGAGAGCTCTCCATCAGCTATTATGCTACACTGCAAAGACACAACTATGTGACACCAACGTCATACCTAAAATTGATTCTTACCTTTAAGACACTGCTCAGTAGCAAAAGGCAAGAAGTTGACATGATGAGAATTCATTATCTTATTGGACTTCAAAAACTTGACTTTGCATCTTCACAAGTGAGTTTCACATGAAAACACTGAATATGTACCATATGCATACTTTAGTATGAGGTCTGTATAAGCTGATTAAAACTTATAAAAATAAATCTTATTAAATTCTCTCTTCACTATGTTCATGATTCTATTGATCATTTTCTATAGAAAGCCAGCAGGAAAATTTAGATTAATGCTGAGTAATTTCAAGAAACTTTGATGTGTAAGTTCAGATTATAGCACTTAATAGAAAGCTAAATGAAATTGATGGTACTCATTAAATGTTGAAGGAATAAACCTTACAAATTTCACTGTTTTCTCAAAACCTTATATGGAAAAGCCATGCCTCAGCATCCTTGTGCCTGTTACCCTTTCAAAATAGGGGAGCAGTTCAAGAATGTTTTAAGACAATAATAAACATGAATTCCTGAGTAGATTACCAGTAGGAAATTGATCAGGCTCCAGGTAAATAACCCCCTTTTTCTACCCAAGAGATCCAGGGATTGATCTTTCCAAGATACAAAGTAAAGAGGCTTCCAGATACTTGCTGGATGAAGAACATCCAGTTTGCAGCTGTTGCTGGCACTAATTCTGCATTTCCTTCCAAGTTTCTTTTGGATTTTGTTTTCCACCTGTGCAATAAAGGATTATTTGGGATTCCATCAACTGACACTGACAAATTATTTCTCATTATTGAAATCAAGTGGATGATAAAAAAGCAAGTGTATTGCATGGATGATCAAAAAAATCCTTTAAAAATCTATTCAGTTGAACAAAACACCTCTTAGTAAAAATAGGCTAGAGAACTTTTTAAATAATTATTAGATCAAATGTTCCTGTTTAGATTGTATTCATATTATGTCTTCTGATCTTTCTTCCTGAGACATCAAGATGTGAAATGTATGCAATGTTTACACGCATTTCTTCTTGATTTCCTCTTATGTTCTTCAGGTTGCAGAGATGCAGAAAGAACTGACTGATCTTCAGCCTGAACTGATTCAAACTTCTGCAGAAACAGACAAAATTATGATCAAGATTGAAAAGGAAACAACCGAAGTAGATGCAAAGAAGGAACTAGTGTCAGCAGATGAAAAAGAGGCGAATGAAGCAGCAGCTGTTGCTAAAGCTATTAAGGTAGTGTACCAGGGCACAAGCCTGGAGCATGATGGGTTCCAAGTCTTTCCAAATAAATGGCAGTTGTGATGGTGTGTTAATGGTATGATCCAAGCTTTTAAAGTTACAAAGTTGCAAGAGAAGATGAATGAGATGTTCCTCATATAAACAAGGTAAATTTTGGCTGTTTGGAGTGTGGCTGTATCTCACAGCACTGCATAGCTTCCCTTTCTAGTTCACATCGGAAAAGCTGTATAGCTCTTCTGTACTACATTCTCCTTCTTAACAGATTGACTAAAGAGATTACACTGTTTCCAGGCCGAAGACAGTTCGTTTAGAGTTAGCTGAGGTAATTTGACATAGTGCTGCATGAAGCCTTATTAGGCTAAGACATACTGCCATAGCCAGATGTCTGTAGCACAGAATTTCTCATGGGAAGCTTCAGGATTTCTCAGTATTTTTTTAACTAGTTGGAAATGTCAGTGATCAATAAGTTAGATAATTACTGAGATCTGAAATTAGGGGAAAACATACTTGAATATCCAAGAGATTTCAGGTTTTACATGACAACTCGTTTAAGAAATCCTCATTATCTTACTGAAGTGGCTGTGAAAGTTTGTCTACTCAACTTCTTGATTACACCTTTGGGTCTTCAGGACCAACTTCTTGGAATTGTAGCTGCAGAGGAAAAGCCTGAGCTAGAAGAAAAGAAAAATAAACTGATTATAGAAAGTGCAGCCAACAAGAAACAACTAAAGGAAATAGAAGATAAAATCCTGGAGATCCTTTCCCATTCAGAAGGAAACATCTTAGAAGATGAAACAGCAATTAACATTTTGTCTTCATCCAAAGAGTTATCTGAAGAAATCTCTGAAAAGCAAAAAATTGCCTCTGTAACTGAGATGCAAATAGATTCTACTCGTATGGGGTATTAAGCCAGTTGCTGTTTATTCAGCTGTCGTCGTCTTCTGCATCTCTGATCTGGCAAACATTGAACCTATGTACAAGTATTCATCGATTTGGTTCATTAACTTGTATGTTCAATCTATTGCTAAAAGCAAAAAGAGTGAAGATCTAGAAGAGAGAATTAAAAATATAACTGAGCATTTCACAATAAGCATCTATAATAATGTCTGTCGTTCACTGTTTGAAAAGGATAAGCTGTTATTCTCCTTCCTTCTGACAGTACGCATTATGAAGGGAAAAGACCAAATAGATGATGCAGTTTGACATTTCCTGCTCCCAGGAGGTGTTGCTCTTGATAATCCTCACCCCAATCCAGCTCCAGACTGATTGTCTGACAAGTCATGGGCTAAGCTTGTACATGCGTCTAGTCTGACAAACCTCCATGGACTAATGGAACATGTAAGAGAGAATTTTTCAAAGTGGAAACTAATATATGACTCTGTAAAGCCCCATGAAGAAGCCTTCCCAGATGCACGGAGCACACTGACTGGGTTAGATCGCATGGTGATTCTCAGATGTTTCAGACCTGACAAAATTATTCCAGCAGTGCAGGAGTTCATTGTGGAAAATATGGGAAGAACATTCCGCCTACTTTTGATCTTGGAAAAAGTTACAGTGATTCAAATTGTTGTTCCCCTTTGATTTTTATATTATCACCAGGTGCTGACCCTATGGCAGGTGAGATTGGTATTAAAAAGTCTTATTTTATCTATTAAATGTCATTGAGTGCGACTAAACTGGTAATAGTGTAGGCCCCTTCATTCAATCTCTAAAGTGTCTTTAAAGTACAATCTAACAATGATGGAATATCAAACATTTGCATCTGTCCATATATACAATGATAGTAAAATTGCTAGAGGGTGGAATGGATGTAGTGGTGATGAAATGTCTAGGTCTCTGAGCAGCAATTTAGGAATCTAACATCTTGTAACATCTAGTCCAGTTTATAATTTATGCTTGCATTACAATTCTTTCAGTGGGTGTTTGGGACTTGCCCCAGTCTTTGTTACAACCCCACCTCCAGAAAGTTTCCTCCCTCTCAGTTACTAATTAAATGGTGTATATGACCACACTTCAAACAACATCTGTTAAATGTCCTTTAAAAAATAACCACCCAGATTATTTTTAAAACTGTTTCCTGACAAAATAATTGTAATTTGTAGCCATACCATAAGGATGTATTTCTGGGAGGTACTGGTTTTGATGACAAAGCCAGAGGGCTATTTTTAACTAGATCTAAAGATTCAATTTACAGCTCAACCCCCATAAACAACTGTACCCATGCAACAGAGAGAGTGGAGAGCTGGAACTGAACACTCGGGGCTAAAGGAGAGGACAGGCATTTAACCTGGCTAGTATTTTTTTTTAGTATTACTTTATACACCTGAATTTTAGCATATGCCTCAGAAACACAGGGACTCACACAGCATTTGACACTACTTCTGGGTTGTTGAGGTGGGCCTTTTTTTCAACTGAGTAAAATTTTTGTTGACTTTTGCCCTTCTGATTACTTTTTACATTATAAAAAATGATTAATATCTACAGAACTCTCATCAAACTGTGTGTCACCCACATAATTACAAATTTTCTGAAACCCTATTACCACCTAGCTGCTACTATAGGGCTTTTTTTGCTTGTTTTTTAAATTAAATTGGGCCCAAAGAGTTTTGCTGCTGATTTTAATGGGAATCTAATCCACAGCTCTTGTAAATAGGAGTCTATGGATCTGCCTACCATTTCTGTGTCCCAGGAGTACGTAGGGCAAGGAGGGAGGAGACGAAAATAGTCTGTTGTCAACATGTAAAACCAATCCTTAGCTAGAATGAACTGCCAGAGCTGTATTATAAAACTATAGTAACTGACACTCCTTGAAGATTTGCCTGAGGATTTCCATGGAAAACTTCTAGACAACACATGCATTTCTCAGACCAGTATGGTTATCTCATAATTTTTAAACTTTTTTTTATTTCAGTATTATTTACCTACATATCCCAGATGCCTGATAAATGAAGCTGTTTCCTTTCTCCCATAGTCTCATTTTACTTCGTCATCTTGCCTTCTTGCATGTTGGACTAACAACAACCTGAAATTTTGTACTTGTTGAAGCCCTTTCATCAGAGAAGCTCTCTCTATATATAATAATATGAGATATATATATATATATAAAAATAATAATATATATGTAATATATCTATCTTCAAAGAGCTGTGCAGTCATTAAGTAATCTCCACAGAATGTCAAGATATGGTACTAAAGATGGATCATTAGACTTGTGTACACACAACAGAAGCACAAAGATCAAGGCAAACATTTTAAAAAAACCCCACTTCATTTATATCCACTAATTTGAGGTCTTGGTTGTTTTATTTTTTTTTCATTGCCTAAATTACAGCATCTTAATGACCTGCTTGAGGCCTCACTAAGTCAGAGATGCAGCTATAATCCAGCAATTCCCAGTATCTTGCTACAATCATTAAGTGATGCTGCTACAGTTCATTAAAACGTGGTTCTGGTCATAGGCATTTATCTGTTTTGTTGTGCCTAGCTGTTATAGGTGAAAACAGTGTTCATTATTGTTTTATTAAACACTAGTTTGTTTTATATCGATATTAATAAAATAGTAACTTTTAAGAATGGTAACAGGTAAGCAGAAAGTGTTGCAGGTGTGTTGTACAGTGCTGCTTTGCACAAAGATATACAGAGGTAATTAGTACAGTATCTTCATGTACCATATTCGATGCCTCATAAACAGTACAGCGTGCAGGCATTTGGTGTGTCATTGTCGTTACATGGTGAGTAGGGCAAAGATGTCAGGCCAGGACACTTAATGGATAGTTGGTTTAATGTAGGGGATAGAGGTGTGCAGGTGTTTCAACTTACTGATAGGAAGAAACTACTCTTAAGTTTAGACTAAATTACATTTGGCACCTATAGCAAAAAACAAAACTTGTTTGTGAATGTTATAGCACAGTCACCCAAATTGACAACAATTTTTGAGAAGAGAATCATGTTACAGAAAATCTGTAAATAAATAAAGATTAGTTAAAATTAATCCTTTAAAAAATAGTCTTTTCTTAGGCTTCGTAAGAGTAACGTAGGTGCCTTCTACTTTTCGTATCATTAAAATTAACTGAAATTTAGCACATATTAAAAAAATACATTGTGGTAATTATCATATTTTTGAATGGCTGCATCTAATTGTTGTGGTTCAGCTCACTAATCAGGTCCCTGTGGCATCAGAAATAACAAACTGTCACGAGCCTACGCTTATGGGTGCTTTGCATGCAGGCCAAAGAGGCTGGACTTGGCTGCTAGATCCTTCCCTATGGATCAATCAGTTGCCACTCTCAAAAGGATCTATTTAGATTTGAGCTGATGCATGTAGGTGACTGGTGACAGCCTACCTGTCGCTGCTGAGGCACTGTTGGAAGGGAAGCTGGGGCAAAGATACAGTAATCATTCTTAAAACACTACAATGAAGAGAAGTTGAAATTTGAGGATTGAGTTTCTCCATCCTTCTTCAGGTAATGCTAGTCTTGCAAACACAGTCCTCTAAATTAAGCCATTTTAAATAAAAAGCCAGTACATGCTAGCTAAACCACTTTTTATGGAGATAAATTACTTTTAAACTGTTGGGATAGCTTGCCATGTGGGTTTCTTGCTAATGCTTTTTTGCGAACAAGCACTAACCTGGACAGTTTATTAAATGACACCATTGTGATTCTTGTGAATGGCTTTGCTACTACATTGTGTACCATGTCCTTGTTACTGTGTTGATTTTCTAAATTCTGCTTCTATGTTCATGTTTAGATTTGAGATTAAGGCATCTCAGAATGAAATTAAAGACGTATTTGAAGCTTTTGTAGATGTGACCAAAATATGTAGATAAAAGTCTATACAAGAGGGTTCATGCATCTGGCAGTTGTTCTGCCCCCTTCGCCAAGGATAAATGACTTGCTTTAGTTGATGATTACTGACCTATGTGATTTCCTGAGCTGCCCTTCCTATTAGAGAAAAAGTAATGGAATTTACTGTTGGGGAATATCTGTCTCAGAGATGTTTTTCTGTGATTCTTTGAAATGAGCTTCCCAATCTTATTTCCTGAAGAATGATAAGCTGGCTAA